AAAAAAAAAAAAACAAAACTTCCAATACAAAAGATTTAAATTGTTCATTCAACGTATTTGCATAGGCATAAGAATTAAGAAGTATCAAATTTTCTTCGGAAAGTAAGATAGTTTTTACTGAACAGACACAGTTGTTGTATTAGAGATGCAAAGCTGAAAAACAAACCTTTTCCCATAATGATGTTGATGTTCCTAACCCCAAAGAAGCTGTCTCAAGATCTTTTCCCTTAGAAACTACGGAACGTGACCTCAATACAGACGATGGCTGTTTGGTATGCTGGGACACAATGAAACAAATAATGAAGAGTTTCAAGTTCCTCAAATACATCTGGCATAATACCCATGATATTATTTTAGAATAAATTAGTCGAGTTGTTTCTGTTATTTTTGTGCTTTTCTAGATAGTTGCAGAAGAGGAATGATTCTCATCTTCTAAATTCTCCATTCCAATTATATTTCATTATATATTCCAACTTCATTTGTACAAAGCCACGAGTATGTGATCCAAAACTAAAGTATTTACACTTAGAAAGTATTTTATTCATTTAACATGGAAGAATATACTGGGTATGTTGATGTTGATGTTGATGAACATGGAAGAATTTAATAAAGATATATGGTTCTCCTTTATCACAAGAAGTTCCAATGAGTAAAAAAAGATAGCTAAAAGGAGAAGGAAATATCTACCTTTGATATTTTTGGCTTATTAAGGGAAGCAGGAGACTTGGTTCTTTCCATTACATGACATTGTCGAAGCTCATTTAGAGAAAGCAAAAATACTTGAACTGATTTCTTCAATGCATTTGACTCAATAAATACATGTTCTTGCACCTATACACAAGGAAAATTCCATGCATTGTTATCAAGCTAAAAATGACTGATTCATGGATGAAACAGTTCACGCATAAGCAAACAAGCACGAGAACAGGCGAATCAAGTCATGTTTTGATTATCCAACACAAATAGTTTTATTTAAAGACAAGCATGTAACCTTCAATGAGATAACTTTACAGATATCAATATTTGACCCCTTTCTTCCAGCTATATTAACGACGACTTTAGGAAATAGAAGTTCCGCAACTTCACATTTAACCAGTACAATATCTTGGCATAATCTGCAAGAATTATTACAAAGATCAGCTGGTTAAATTCATATAGAAATTCGGCATGTTACCAATAGTAGGGATGAAGACTGAAGAACTCTTGCAAGGAAGAATGGACAACCTAAGAATAAGGTCATCACAGTAACTTATCATGGCACAAACAAGTGGACAAATCCATGCCTCAAATGTTTTATCACCAGTAGACCACACAGCTGAGTCTTCTATGGAAACTGATTTAGCTGACAAAGAAAGCAGCGAAGTTAACTCATTGATTTGTTAAACAACCAAAATAATTTACATTCATTTAAAATGAAGACATCATTTATGTTTCGTTACTGAAGAAGAAAGTTTCAACTTTTAGACTTATCATAGGCACACCTTTTACCATTTATAAATGTAATCAAGACAAAAATTGACGCATAAAAACCAAAACATTAGCTGAAATGGCTCTTCTTCATCTGCAAATGCAGCACATTAATTACTTGTCCAACACAGCAACTTAATCTCAAAGCCAAAGTATTTACCAGACAGAATCTTCAGCCAACTATGTACTGTTGAACAAAATTAAAAGGGAACAGAAACCCAAGGAAGAGTGGTATTGTCGGCTCACATATCAGTAAAGAATCATCCATTTCATCTTCCTTGGTGCAAAAAAATTTTCATTCCAATCATGTTCCACACAATATACTGTTCTACGCAGTCTGCAGGCTATAATTTATATATGATCGCATGATGCATGAACTTGTTGAAATATAGAAGGAACTTAATTTAACAACTTACCATCAAATTTTCTCTGTAAACTTGCTATTAAACTTTGTACTAGCTCCAAATTAACGCCTTTCGAGTGGACCTACAGGCAATAAAACATCAATGTACCGCCATCACCAAGCCTAGTCATCACCCAAAAATGAAAATTAGGAACACCAATTTAAGACACAATAGCATAATTGGGAAAACACAACCAACCTCCATAAGAGATCTCTCGTATGAATCCAAATTTAATAAAGATTGCTGACCCTTTTCAGTTGAAAGAATCCCCTGAGCAGGTGGAGTAAAATGCAAGTATTTAGAACAAGAATTTCAGCCACTAGAAAGAAAAAACACATCATTAAGTCAACCTATCTCCCTTGAGATTTATTAATATTAATAGGAAACTACTTCAAGGAGAAAAGTAAGCACAGTTTTCACATGCTACATTATCTTCCTCTCCCCCACTTATGCTGCTTAAGTTACTACCAAATGCAGCTATTTCATACTAATTTGGCCGTCAACTTGAGCTCGTTTAAGCTTGTGGCTTTTTGAACATCAAAATTTTATTTTCTCCGAAGGCTCTAGTTTCTTTCTATTCAAGGATAAGCTTTACTTTAAAAAGTCTCACACAAGTCAAAACCACTCAAGTTCAATTTTTCAAGTCATTTTGCACCAATTAATAAAACAAATCTGCAATGACAGCCAGACATGAGACAGCCCATATTGCTTTCACCACGTGGGGCAAGAAATTGAAAAGAGAAAAGGAGCAACACATATATTCACATCGTACATTATACATGACATAAAGCATTTGCAAACCACTTTTCCTTAAAATAGGAAGTGCTAACCAGAGAGGGTCGTAGAACCACGAACTTAAAAAGATCACATTCAATAAAATAAACTAGCATTTCAACTTCATCACGTATTGTTCCAGCCTTGATTAAATCCATATATATTAGAAGCAGTGGGGACTTGGCAATACCGAAGTGTTAAATGCATAAAATCATTATTTGAGTGAACTCAAATCATTTTGTCTTCACATATGAGAATTTATGCTATTTTACCGACATAGAGATCTTACGAGAGAAATATTTAGTTATTGATTGGATCGCATGTCAATTAGCCTTCAACAGACCTATTTAATTGCAACTATACGTAGTACAAATACAGATCAGTATACCTAAATCTAAATGTACACAGTTCGCTTTTGTTGAGGTGAGATGATTGTTGTGTAGGAATCATACCAAGATGTTTGAAGTCTACAACTACTTGGTATTAACCATTGGAAAGAAACACTTTTTATGAAGTTCAAAAGGACGGAGTTTGAGCATTAGATAACATTTACGCAAGAATATTAAACACACAAGATAGGCAACCATAACAGGCATAAGCAAAAATAATGGCAAGTAAACAAACCAATTACATGGAACTTCTAGCGAACTCACACGTAAAGCTTGAGAAGCCAAGTCAATCATCTCAACAGAATCATCCATTAAATACTTCTTTAATAGCCTCATAAGTACAAGAAGAACTTCACTGCACATGGCTGTATCTGTGCAGATATTCGGATCTGCAGCTATAACAGCATTGGCTAGTCCAGATACATGCCCATTAGGCTCCCCAGGAATATGAAAAACAACACGATGGGGATCACCAATACCAACCTGCAGTTACATATAAATCTTAAGAAAATATGTTCAACCCACCTCTTGTGTGCATGCAAGATTGACATTGCAAGACAGATTTAGCAGTACCCTGGATATAAAGTCAGACACCATAGCTCCAAGATCATTTGTGTCATCTAAGCTACATATTGAAACAAGACTCCAGGGAGCATGGGCAATTTCATTATCCGAATGCCAATATGCATCTTTGAGAAAATTCTCATCCTCATCAAGCTCCTTTCTCAAATGCCTTCCTTTTGTGGATATATTCTTATGCAATGCTTTCAAACTGCAATTGTGATAAATGAATAAAGCATTCATTAGTTTTTATATTTCAAATAAAATGCTTAGAATAAAATTTGGTCGCTAGTTTATTCGAGATAAATATAGGTATGAAATTATTGATAAATAGGCGTAAGTAGAACTCATCCCCAAAAGGTAGAAGGCGTCCAACCCACATTAATACATAATAACACTTTTACACAGTAATATGTGGGACAAACATAAACTTCTTACATCCACCCTCATGCGTAGAGTGACAATCTAAACGGGTCAAATCCAAACCCAACATTACCATCAAAGAAACAGACTTGATACCATGATAAATGGGTCTGGGTAACAAGTATTCTGACTGATTGATCCAATGCAGCTGCTATTAAGTATCAACATAATTCTTTGATTATCTTAAAGATTTTATTATTTTCATGTATATATTCTATGTGAAAAAAGTGGGCAAAAGTTTTCACCCTAACCTTTAGGCTTTTGTATTAATAACAAATCGTACAGAGAATAACGGAAATTATAGAACTACCTGTAAAGAAGAAATCTTGGCGGGACATGTTGAGATCTCTTCACAAACTAAAAGAGACATGAATAGAAGTCACGTAAGAACTAAGAAATATAGGACAAAGAGGAAAAATAGGAGTTGCATAATCAAAAGCCTCAGAATGAAGCATACACATCGACTGCTTACATTAATTAAGTGAGCCCTCGGTGAGTAAATTTCACATATTTTCTCATGGAACATCCGTATGTCATCAAATACATTGAATTCCGGGAAAGGCTCTAACTCCTGAAGAAAAGTTGTCAGATAGTAAACATATGCAGCTGAAACTAATTGAACATAACAAAATACAAGGTGAAGCTGCCATTCAGTAAAAAAACATTAGTTACCGATAACCAATAGTTGACCAAGGTTATACCAGGTCATACCTTAATGTATTCATACAGAGATGAATCAGAACCGATGGTAAGCTGCTGGAGCAGCAAGAACGGTTGTGATGAAGCCTTGGCAGAGAGTTTATCACAGGATGCAGAAGGAGCACAATGTGCAACCAACTTAGACACCAAAAACTGATAATTAAAGCATTAGGTCAGTACAGAAAATCATACGCTATTGTCAAAACTAGTAATACATGCTCCTACCTGAAGCTGTTCACCCAACACTCTTGTAGTCTCCACTGAAGGACTATCTCTTGATATTCTCAGCAATATGGAGATGATACAACAACATTGATCCGTTAAATAATGGCAGTCAACAAAGTGGCCCATCAAATTCAGAAGGTAACTGCTCAACAAACAAGAAAAATTATTACCAAATATAAAAAGAGATTACTTTTAACAAACTGTCCTACCGAAATGCTTAATGAAGAAACAAGGTCCACCAGCACCAGCCAAAACACAGTCTTAGATGTAAAGAGAAATAATTAACTCACTTGAAAGTACTGGGAATTGCAGCTCTATTCCCAAGTAGATTGACAAGCACCTCGACCCCAGCCAAATGTTTACATTTATGCCAATGGTGAGCTGCAGCAGTAACTTTGTAATGCATATCAAGAATGAACTGCAAAACCAAAATGTCAGTCAATTAAAGATGAAACAGTACTCATCAATGTCAACATAAAGGCACGTACACACAATTGGGCAGGATACAGACATTATCTGGATTCTGGAAAAAATAATAATAATAATAATAATAATAATAATAATAGTAATAATAATAATAATAATAATAATAATAATAATAATAATAATAATAAGATTGTGGGAGCACCATAAATACTCTATCAGGTCTAAATATGTTAATCTTGTCCACAAGGTTGGAGTTTGTAGATTGATCCTCGCTGCAAGAATTGAGTAAAGAAATTTAGAACTATGGATTCATAATGACTAAGAGATAAAAATAAAAGAATTTGAAAACCCAAAAGAAAAAGAAGCACCTATCCAAGAACCCATCTACAATTATTCGAATTGCAATTTCAATAGTATCTTTAGAGAAGAATGGTAGTGGAGGATCTGCGAGACTGGAAGCTAAAGATAAAGTTTGGTTCACTATGGAAACCTGCAAAAGGTTGTTAGAAATCAAAATAAGAGAAGATCCACATAATTTGATGGGAAAATACGTATTTCAAATGAAAAAGATCCTATTATATAATCCATGTAATATTGGGAATCATACCATGCGCTTCTTAATTAGTTCATCTCGTTCGTGTTCAGATATTTCAGCAATCTGAAGAATATATGATCCCAGCACCCTAGATCCCTTATCAAACTCAGCCTTCTCTCGATATCCCTTGTCAAACTCAACTTTATTGTTGCATTGAAACGCCATACATATAGAAAAGATGTGTACAAAGTGATACTTAATTAAATCAGCACAAGACTGGCGAGCAACCTGGAAGTTTACATGATCAAACACAAATTTTATAATCCAACCATAATCGATAAAATGTCCCAGACTATAAAGCAAAGGGAAAACATATTTAAAGAATTCAGTATACATAAAGTTAGAACTCTGCTAATGTCATTGGACCAGGAATTCGTGGATGCTAACTATTAAATAATAGATTCCAATTTATCTTCAATATGTCAGCATTATTTGCAAACCATGAAAGCATTAGTTAACTTATATTGCTAAATAGACCTTACACAAAATTCACCTAGTTAAAAGAACTTAATCATGTAAAATGTAGTTAAATGTTCTATGCTCATATTTGAAGGTTATACATGAAACAAAAAGTAGATGAACAGCAACTTGAGTCGGTTATTGGTCCTTGCAAAAGAAATTCAACTTTTTACTAATTAATTTCCAGAAAAGTTGAAAACCAAGAAATAACATTCCAGGAGAAACATATGAATCAAATTATTCACCTTAGAAACCCATTTAATATTAGAAGTGTCTTCCTGCAGCATCAAAGCCGGCAGAAGCCACTGGCAACAATACTGAATGAAGTTTACTGGCTCCACATTCAAAACGTAAAGATCCCTTGACTGTAATATCAAACAAAAAGGCAGAGTTGGTAGATGCCTTTAACATCACATGACATCATATTCTTCACTGAATGATATATTGCATGCTACCTCAACAAGTGCAACTAAGCTCACGCCACAAGCTACCCAACAAAAGAGAATTTGCCCCATGAGCTCCTCCAAATACTGGTCAGGCATTAACAAAAAACAAAAAAAAAAATAAATAAATAAATAAATAAATAAGTGAATATAGACTTTAGCAGAAAGTTTATACTAAATGTATAACAGAAATCCAACTTAATACCTTTGTCCGGTTTGTATAGTGGAGCTCCTTAGATAAACTGTCAAGCACAGCACAGACCAAATGCCTGAATAGGGATTGATTCAGAAAATTAGGACGGTGCTATGTAACTTAAACTTTATTTCCCTTTTATATGTATTTTACCTTTGACGGGGATCAATAGCAGCAATTACACATACCATAAAAATAGCCTGCATATAAAACTCACATTAAAACCAGAAACTGTAAAATTAAAAAAACAAAAAAAAAAAAAAAAAAAAAAAAAAAAAAAAAAAACAAAAAAAAAACAAAAACAAAAAACAAAAAACAAAAAACAAAAAAAAACTTATGTAGCACTACCGCAACGACTGCATACATCTTATTCTTGCGACAAATCAAAGTAACTCTTGAGGATAAACTCAAACTAACAGAGAAATACCAGACTAATATCAATCACAACACGACGCCGAATGTAGATGGCAACAACATGAACATAAGTGACAAAAGGTCATCAATATAGGAACAAGTGACAAAAGGGCATGCACAAGCTGGGATCCATATTGAAGTACCTCCAACTCTATTTTCTCACTATGAAGCACTAGGTGCATGAGAGTTATAATAACAGTCTCCATTATTGGACTTGGCTGAGGACCGGCAGCTAAAACTTCCTCCGCACCAACAGCTTTCCCCCTTGTGAAAACAACCAACTTCACACCAAAACTTGCACTGAAAGAGAGGACATTTTAGTTATGAGATGTTGAGATGGAGAAAACAAATGGAATTAAAAAAAAAAAAAATACACGGTAACATGTACTGCAACAGATGCTAACACAATAACTTCTTTACTAACCAGAAGGCACTCAGAAGTTAGAATAGGTAATCATCTCCTTTAATAAATTATAGGATGTCACTCATCTATTCATGGAAAATTCCATTCACCCAGTTTCCAACTTGAGAAGTCATTTCACTATGGAAATAGAATTCTTTTATGACAGTGATGTCAGCACGTCAATATGACAAGCATAAAATGCTTATTAAGCATCCTACTGAATCCCAAGTATATCTTATGATCCAAAATTCTCTAATTTTTTTCTCCAGTATCGAATAAACATTCTTAGCTAATGCAACAAATAAAAATGATGCAATCTTACAAATCAAAATGATCTGATCTCCTATAAGAACGTCAACACCACAAAAACTAGATCAGATGTATATTCTAAGGTAACGCAACAAATCAACGTCTCAACATGATCTAATATAAGAATGTCAACACCAAAATCTCTCACTGAGTTCAGACTTTGTCTATCCTCAGCCAATGCAACCACAATTTTCTTTTACTGCTTATTTAGTTAACTAGATAGATCAAATCACCGAGAATGTTTTGGGAAGTCTAGAAATATGATTAATTCACTTGAGACAAACTTTAAAAGTCTAAGCTGAAAATTAATTGATTGTAAATGACACAACAATTTTGTCTATTTGGGTGAAGTAAGGTAGTCCAAAATCATTTTGTGAAGTTCATTGACATTAAAAACAAGTTTTACTATTTCACAAGAAGCAACTATAATGCCACTCCACACCTCTATCAACTTCACACTATTTCTTTTTTTCTTACTACCAGTAAAACATCAACATCAACATCAACATCAACATCAACATACCCAGTATATTCCCAAACCCAGTATATTCCCTAACAGGTTGGGGTCTGGGGGGTCAGTTTTACGCAGACCTTACCCTTGTAATTATACAAGGAGACTGTTTCCATAGCGACCCAAGGTGCGTTGCGTCGTTTGATATATTTTTTCTAGAAACTTCACTAATAGAAGAAGCACTAGAATTTAATTGAGCCATTTTGATCTAGTCCATTATTTGCACGATGCCAGAAGAATTGTCAATGAAACAAAATTTTAACGGAAACTCTAAGCTTTCTTCCTCCTCAATTTTCCTCTATCACGTGAGCATAGATCCAATTCTAAATAGTGGCACTCAATAATTTCTCGTATCAGGATATATGATGAGACATTGAGATTCCTACCATACAGCATACACATAAGTGGAAGTTACTAATCAAACATTGACTAAAAAAATACTTGTTCCTACTATATATGTATCCTCATGTCAAAAGCAGAAACCACGGAAATATCTTATGGTGTTTTACTTGAAAGGAGTAGCCATTTAGGAATAAATTCTTGTAGTTATACTACATATCATGCAGACACCACTATAAAATATGAATAGCCAAATGAAGGAAATTGATAAATTCGTCAAACTGCTGCAAGTAAAAAAAAAAAAAAAAAAA